ATCCTCTCCATAGCTAGCAACACCCAAGATCTTAATATCATCTGCAAATTTAAGTAATTTATTGACTATTCTTTCGTGTATGTTATTGATGTAAGTCAAAAAGAGCAAAAGCCCTAAAACTGAGCCCTGAAGCACCCCACTTGTGACATTAATCCAGTTTGACTGAACTCCATTTGTAACAACCCTCTGCTTTCTCTCATCCAGCCACTTTTCTATCCACTTTGCTAACTTATCCTATAAAAAGCTGATAGAGCTAATTTTTTACAAGCCTTTTATGTGGCACCTTATCAAATGCTTTCTGAAAATCCTGATATACCAAATCTACACCCTTACCCTCATCTACATAAGCAGTAACCTTTTCAAGGAATGTTAAAAGATTTGTAAGGCAAGATTTTCACAGTTACTATCAAGAGACAAAACAAAATAAGGGCAAGTGGGTCTGTGTTCAGTATATTGGACTGGTGAGAGAGAGTGTTTGTACAATAAATATTATTCTGCACGTGACCCTCTACCATTTATGCTAGAATGCTGAGGTGTCAGAAACCACAAGCCATTATCCAATTCGTCGACAGAAAAGACAGCTTTCTATTTCTGGACATCACATACTATCTTCCCCGCAAGAAATTCAGTTAATTGCCACTAGGCGAAGTGTTCCTAGATGAAACAAGGTTAAGATGTATTTACAAGAAAAACATTCCAAGCTCAAACTGAACTAAAAGAAAATACAAAAATTTCAAATATTTACATATCATCAAAGGGAGTAGAAAACAAATAATACTGTCTTGGTCCACGTTAATTTCCTAAATGGAGATGCTACCATAGTCAGTAACACGTCTGGAAGCATGGCTGTAACATCAGCTTCAAGTCACTATGGAGACTGTTCTTTTATTTTTTCGTGCCAAGCTATTCAAAGGCTATTTGCCATACTCATCTTAATTTAGAAGTGATATGCTAGAGGGCAGGCAGCTAGTCAACACCACCCACTGCCAGTTCTTGGGTTATTCTAATCAAGTAATGGGATTTACCATCACATGCAAGAGGAACATGATCTGGCTAACCTCTAAACTCTACCAAATGAAAATTTCCTATGGATGAACTTCCTGGCAGAAGATTGTTGTCAGGAGATGGAACAGAATGACTTCAATAGAGCTCTGTTGGTCCAAAAGTATTTTCCATGATACCAGCTATAAATGGCCTGTGCTATCACTCCAACATTACCCAACATCCGAGAAGAAAATATTTATTGCATCCCTGTACAACCTACTAACTAACCTTCACTGATTCTGCTTGAGCTCCTGTCTCAAAATATGTCCATATTGTATTTTTACCTCTGTTTTAATTCATTTATACTTTAGTCTTCTGATGTTGTATATTCACCCATTCTTTCACATACTAAGTCCTCGAACCTTTATGTGAAATGTTATTTTAAATATTACCATATAGTCTGGTCACTTCTCAGAATAGCCAACAAACCATATTGTTACTAAGATACTGTCATAGCTGATCATGATATACAACTTCTCGTTTGGTGTACCATATTACAGATACAATACACTACAATGGATTTACTCTTTATTATATCATATAAAATTTTGCTAGCACGAGATGGGTATAAAAACTGGGGCTTACTTTTACTTGTGGGTTTAGTAGTGGCATAATAACACTTGTACTCAAGGTATGTCAGCATTTATTCTGCATATAATCTCTCTCCATCTTATCATTAGCTGATTTTAGTGTCTTACAAGTATGGTATTTTCAGGTAAAACTGATTTCCCTCAGGAATGATTAAATTGTTCCACAGAATACAGGAGATTCGACCAAGATATTTACTACAAAGTAGTTCTGGGTTCTCTGATCCTGGGTGAGTTTGTGCAAGAAAGAAACTAGACACACATTTGAAATACAAAGTGAAAGCAATATTTATTCAAAAACGCAAAACAATAGTATGGGTGCATATTGTCATTCAACATGAAGGATAATCGCATTTGCTGGAGACCTAAAAATGGTGCAGTTTACAAGAGCCTGTCCCAAATGATATTGCACGTATATATTATTCCACATCGAGAAAATATCACATTATATACTTAAAGCTATAACGTCATACTTTTCCAGGAAAACATGTGTTACCACTTGACCATGGATCAATCCCATTGAAAATAATGGAGGTTATAATGACCATGATACATTATTTATCCTACAAGTGGAAGAGATCATCATTTACACTTACTTTGTATGTACCACCTCACATTAATTTTTTCACGGGAAGACAAGGTGTTAACTTAGGTGAATGACACAGAACAATAGGTATCTAGAGTGAAAGGAACTTAACGACTTTCTTGACCATGTTATATGAACACCACACATACACCAGAATAAATGAAATTGTTTGAAATATTATTTATTAAAACAATGGAATAGAAAACACGTGATATACTTTTGTACCACAAAAGTACAGTGTTAGTGGTATAGTTTAAGGGATTAGTGGAATATATATAAATATTCTTAGATTAATTTTCCTAAAAGAGAGAACATAAAAGAAATACAAAGGTGAGTTCGATATAGATTAAATATCATACATCTTGGGACCTAGTGATCTTTATTTTATGAGGCATGGTTCTGTATTTCATTATATTGTTACTACAGCGGAAGTCACGCGACCCTGGGAGCATGCGCGCTGGAATTTTTCGAAGGATCATGAATTATCGGGGAGGCCGTGTTTGTTCGAGGCGCCCTCTTTTTTAGTATATAAGCTTGGCGAGAAAAACCAGCGGCAAGGCAGAGATAGATAATTGAGGCAAGCGAACAGTAGGCACCCTAAGTAAAGTCTGTGAATCACTGTGATTTATAGCGTGTGTT